GCATTCTGCCCGCCATATCTGGCCGACCCAGGAGTTGTCTCACCGGTTGATCGGTTCGCACGACAATGGTGTGTGCTAGGAAGTAGTGTCTGAGTCTCCTCGCAGCGTTGACGAGGGCCAGTGCAACCTTTTCTATCTGTTGATACCTGCTCTCGGGGCCTTGTAGGGCTTTGCTCGTGAAGTAGACAGGTTTCTGTCCGTCGGGAGTCTCGCGGACAAGAGCTGCACTGATGGCTTCGTTTGAAACTGCCAAGTATAGGTAAAGTGGCTCGTCGTCATCTGGTCGAGACAGCACGGGCGGTTGAGACAGGCTCTGCTTCAGATGGCGGAGCGCGTGTTCGCATTCCTCGGTCCATTCGAAGGCTGCTTCCTTTCGAAGGAGTTTAAAAAAGGGAAGGGCGTGCTGAGCGGACTTCGCGACGAAGCGTGAAAGTGACGTCAACATGCCATTCATTACCTGTATCGACTTCTTCGACGTTGGAGTCGGGAGGTCGGCGAATGCTCGGCACTTGTCGGGGTTGGCTTCAATGCCTCGTTCTGTTAGATAGAATCCGAGGAACTTTCCTGCCTTAACCCCGAATGTGCACTTCTCAGGGTTGAACCTCATCTTGCACTGTCTTGCTTGGGCAAAGACAGTCGAGATGAGCTGCGTGATCGGTGTCTGCTCGAGATTTGACGATCATGTCGTCCATGTATACCTCGAGCATGTCGCCTATCTGTTTGTTGAACACTTTGTTCATCATGCGTTGGTAAGTCGCACCGGCGTTCTTCAGTCCGAAGGGCATTACGTTGTAGTAATAGTTGCCCGAGCTGGTCATGAATGCCGTGCAGCGTTTGTCGGCCGGAGCCATTGGGATTTGATTGTACCCCGAGTAAGCGTCCATGAACGACAAAGTTTTGTAGCCGGCCGAGTTGTCGACCAGCATATCAATGTTTGGTAGAGGAAAAGCATCCTTCGGGCAAGCCCGATTGAGATCGGTATAATCAACACACATTCGCCATTTTCCATTATTCTTTTTGACAAGTACAACATTTGACAGCCAGGTGGAGTACCGGGCTTCAGAAATAAAATTTGCCTCTAAGAGGTCTTTTACAGCTTTTTCAGCAGCCTCCGTTTTTTCTGGAGACTGCCTACGCCTACGTTGTACTACTGCCTTGGCGGCTGGATCAATGGCGAGGTGATGACAGGCGACCTCAGGGTCGAGTCCGGGCATCTCTGCGGCGCTCCAGGCGAAGAGATCAGCATTCTCGCGCAGACAGGCCTTGATTTGCTTTCTGGCCAAGTCGGGGAGGTCCTTGCCAATCTTCACTCCCTTGGTCGGGTCTGCTCCGAGGGGAACGAGTTCGAAATCGCCGTCCGGAATAGGTCGGAGGGGGATTTGCTCGCTGCTTGCTGGCTCGTCTTGGTCAAAACGGGCGTCGAGCGCAATGGAGTCGACCTTTGGTGGAGCCTTCTGAACTTCTACCTCAGGAGATGCTCTGTCGGGCTCTTGCTTTGTCTTCTTGATGGGCCTAGTGCTGGGACCCACGTCGACAGTATCCCGACCCCTTGAAGCGGCGTTGAAGCACCTGCGGGCAGCAGCGAGGTCGCCCTGGATGGTGGCTACCCTTGCCCGTTTGGTGTAGAACTTCATTTTGAGATGGACAGTTGAGGGAACCGCTGTCAGCTCTGCCAATGTCGGCCTCCCCAAGATGCAATTGTACAGGGACGGGCAGTCAATGACGAGGAAGCGGACCTTCACCTGTCTTGTAGCAGTTCCTTCCCCGAATGTCACAAGGAGCTCGACATATCCCCAAGGTTTGGATGTCGAGCCGTTGAAGCCTTGTAGGTCCGAACCTATATATGGAGACAGATGGGAGTCGTCCAGTTGTAAGGTCCGGAACAGCTGAGTGTACATCACGTCGACGGAACTCCCTTCGTCGACCAAGATGCGATGCACGTCAAAATTGGCCATCTTTGCCCTTATCAGCAAGGGGATGACTGCGTTCGGTGCTCCGCCGGGGAGCTCTTCCAAGTAGAAGGTGATAGGCTCTGATCTGCCCCTCACCATTTCGAATGTCACAGTTTGTGGAGGAGCTTTGTCGACCAGTTCGTCCAACTTCCTCTTTGCTGAGTTGATGGTGAGGTCGTTGTACCCGCCCCCGTTGATGACCATGGCGGAGGGGAAGTATTCCCACCTGCTGTGTGTAGTCAGGGGCTCCTGTAGGAGCTCGGGCAGTTCGAAATCCTCGGGCCTGGTTACCGAGAAGGCGGTCTGGATTGGCACCGACTCGTCAGATGGTCGGGCATCTTCTTCGGGCTCCTTTGCCTCGCGGGCTTCACGACGGGGAGCGTCGTTTCTCCTGTACTGTGCCAGTCTTCCCCCTTTGATAAGGGTTTCAATGGCGTCTTTCAGGTGGACGCAGTCCTCTGTCAAGTGACCATGACTCCTATGGTACTGACAGTATTTGTTTTTGTCTACTCCTGGCTTGGCAGGAGCTGGTCGGGGACGCTTGACGCCACCGTCCTTAAAATCTGTGCTTGCACACTCCGCTAGAATGCGCTCGCGGGAAGCCGTGAGCGGAGTGTACTCTGTAAACCGGCCCGAGGGGCCCCTTTGTTCCCGGACCTCCCGGGGTCTGTCTTCCTTCCTCTTCTCTCCGGTGCGTCGGGGAGGAGGGTCTTGTCTTGAGCTGCTTCCATGGTTGCGAGCCCTGGAGTCTCGTGCCCTGTTGGCAGCTTCTCTCTCCTCGTAGTCCATATATGCTCGGGCTTTGTCGAGGAGAGCATCAAAAGTTGCGGGCGGCTCAATGCCCACAGCCTTCCTGAATTCTGTGCCGGGGAGAAGGCCCCTCTCCAGCAAATACCTCTTCATATGGTCCGCGCAGGGGACCTGGATTGCTTCCCGGTTGAAGCGGTTGATGAATTCCCTCAGAGTCTCATCCTGTCTTTGAATGATGGCCTCGAGGGCTGCCTCAGTCTTTGGGTGGCGGCGAGAAGCCGTGAAGGAACTGATGAACTGATTCTTCAAGTTCCTCCACGAGGTGATGGAGCCCGGGGCGAGTCCTTTGTACCAATCCATGGCCGCCTTCCTGAGAGTTGTTGGGAAGAGGCGGCACTTGATGGGCCCCCCGACATTGTGGTAGTGGAGCATGGCTTCGAACCCGTCAATATGGTCGACTGGGTCCGCCACTCCATCATACTCCTTTAGGTGTGGGGGCTTCTCCATGCCCGGGGGAATAGGTGCGTCCATGATGGCCTGCGACAGGGGACCGCGGGGGTCGTCCTCGTCGCTCCTTTCTGGAGAAAGAGAAGGGGTCCTGTAGACATGTCGGGCACGATGATCGTGCTGAGATTCCCTCGAGCGTGGTGCTCGGTGGTTGAAGGTCACATGCCCGTCCCTGTTGTGCCTCCTGTCGTGCCTTGATGGGTCGCGACTGGGTTCCTCGGTAGGGATGACGGGCTGTCTCTCGTATTGGGGGCGCCTCTGCCTTGGTCGGGGAGAGGGGCTCCTAGAGTGCTCCCTGTAGTGTCTCCGCGGGGGAGTAGGGTGCCGAACTTCTTCGACCCGAGGAGGTGGAGAGGGTGGCCTCTGATGTCTCCTCGGGGGGCGTCGATCATTTTCAAGTGCCCTTAATCTTTCTCCCTGGGCGAATAGGAGATAATTTGTTTGGTTGATGGCCGCGAACAGTGCCTGAGTAGTGGCATCTGCCCCGGCAGGAACTTGGACTTCATGGAACCGGGCAGCTCTGCGGTAGGCGAGGGCCTCCGGATCGTCTTCGAGTCTCGGCGGAGTCGTCGAGGATGAAGCGGTGTTCCCGTCCCTGCGGGGGGAAGATCCAGGGGCGGTTATCACGGGGATGGTATTGTGGCCGGCATCACTGGGATTGTCCAGATGCCCATTCTTGTCCGCGGGACCGTTGTTAGGGTCGGTGACGCGGGCGCGTTGTTCTTCACGACTTGGGGTAGCCATGACAGTGAATAGATTTGAGCTTTGGTCTTTGAAAACTGTTCGTTAGACGGGGAAGCTGTTTCCCACAGACGGCGCCACTGATCTGACCTGATCAGAAGGTTTGGACCGTCACGGCTTACTCCGAGCTGAAGGCTTTTGAACGAAAAGGGGGGGGGGGGGGTACCTGCAAGGCACTCCGATGCTAAAGTAAGTAGGAGTACGAGCAGATAATATAAGTGCAAGGTTAGAATGTTGAATACCTGACCCTCTGGAAACAGAGGGTATTTATAGCCCCCAGCGCTGGGCCAAGGTTCCTTCATTGGGCTGGGCAGGTTTGGCCCAATGGAGGAACTGCCAGGTCCTACGTGGGTAGTGGGGACCAGCACGTGGTCCCCTTCCTGGATATGCTGCATGAAGTGCGGGCGGACGGAGACGCGGTCTTTCCGGAATATAGTTGGGGTGATGGAGGACTAAGTCTGCCCTAGCAAGTCAGCTCGAGACCATGTCGAGCTGCGCAGCACGGTGCCGAGCTCGACGCCAGGACTTCGAGCTGGACCGTGAGTGTCGAGCTGGAAGCCAGGTCGTAGAGCTGGATGGCAGGCTGTCGAGCATGACTTCCTCGTGGGGCTGGACACCGAGATGTCGAGGTGGACATCAGGGTGTCGGGCAGGAGCGTGACCCCCTTTGCCCAGTGTGGTCCTTAGTGAGTCCCTTTGGACTGGGCTTTAGTAATGCTTTTGGGCCTGTCGGGCCCAGTCCAGAACAGGTTCGATTCTATAATAATAAAAAATATATAAAATAGATATTAGTTAAGTTTGATTGGGTTTGATTTTCGACGAATTTAAAATAATCATTTAAATCTAACCAAATCAATCCTATACAATTTAAATTAAGCAATGAGATCGATCCGACCCAATATATTCATATAAAAAAGATAATAAATTGATCGGTTTCGATCTTTATCCACCCCTAGCTTTGTGCCTAATCTCTTGAAAAAATGTGAAAATTCATTCTTTGTATTTAAGACCGTACATGATACGTAACTTTTGTGCCTAATCTCTTGAAAAAATGCATAAAGTGAAAATTCATTCTTTGTATTTAAGACCGTACGTGATACGTAACTTTTTTTGTTTTGTTTTGACAATGACATGATACGCAACTTATTCACTTGCAATATACATTACCTATACATAATTTAATACGGGACCCACGACGCGGAAAGATTCAGAACAACAACACCAACTCGGCGAGTCCGACTCAGCATTCCAAGAAATCCAACTCAGTAATTTTCATTTCCTTCCCTTTCAATTTCACATTCCACAGTTACACCGTTTAACCATTTTCCCGCACAGATTAACACTTCTCTCATCTATCACTGACATCAAGATAGAGAGTGAAAGAAACCAAACCACACTCTCAAAAAGCCTCATACCCAACGCAACACAACGACGTCGTTGAGAAAACCCCCAAGACACAGCGCTGGAGCCTCTACAAGATCCCAAGCAATCGAAGGCTCCACCTGCCACCGCATCATCCAACGGTCAGATCCGTTACCGATCCCCCTCCTCCACCGAGCTCTACGACGGTCAGTCAAGCAACAACTCTCCACCGTCGCATACCGCCGATCAACATCCCTCCGAGTTCGAATCGAGCAAAATGCTGAAGCGTCCTGGCCGTCAGGAGTCGATCTCCGATAAGATCTACAGATTCCGAGGGACTCTGCTTGTTGTCTCGATCCCGCTCGTTCTTATCACGTTTGTTCTTTACATGATGCCTTCCAGCTCGAATTACGAGTCTGCCGGAGATTACGCTCTTGTTAATCGGAAAATTTCACCGGATAAAAAGTCCGGTGGCTCATATGCCGTAATTTTCGATGCTGGTAGCTCTGGCAGCCGCGTTCATGTTTTCCATTTCGATCATAAACTAGATCTCGTTCATATTGGCAAAGATCTCGAACTTTTCGAGCAGGTCAACACAATTTTTTTCTTCCTTTTTATACATAAAAAGTAATATAATATAATATAATATAATATATAATAAATAGACATAATGTTGGTTTGTGTTTTGCAGCTTAAACCAGGTTTGAGCGCTTATGCTAAGAATCCGAAGCATGCAGCGGAATCTCTGATTTCTCTCTTGGACAAAGCGGAGAGTGTTGTTCCTCGTGAATTGAGATCAAAGACACCAGTTCGAGTTGGGGTGTGTGTGTGTTTTTTGTGTGGCATTGCATTTGTGATTTGTTTGTGTGTTGTTTGTACTTTTTAGTTTCTTTGAAAGAAAACTGAATTGAATTTGTACGGTGATGCAGGCAACTGCAGGTTTGAGGTCTTTGGAAGGGGATGCATCTGATAAGATATTGCAAGCGGTAACTATTGCTCTCTATTTCTCAATTTCAATGGATTAAGAAGCTGTGCAACTATTGCTTTTTAAGAAACTGTGCATGTTTAGTTTTATTTTAACTTTTTGTTGCTTTGCGTTTTGTTGATTTAAGGTTAGGGATTTGCTTAAGCACAGAAGCACGTTGAAATCTGATGCTGATGCGGTTACGGTGCTGGATGGAACACAAGAAGGTGCTTTTCAATGGGTATGATTTATGAACATAATGCTATCAGTGATTTACTTAAGTTTTGTTAATGGTGCGTACCTATGGTTTTATGCTTCCAATTACTAGTAATATATGAATGCATCAAGACTAGAACGTAAGCTTTTGTTAACACGGATTGTATTGTTAACAGTGTAGACTAATGTACAGGGAGGGAAGGAATACATATTTGAAACTGTCCAGATCCTTCATAGTTTCTTGATGGTTTATGGGGATTGTGGGAGTTAATACTGTATAATGGGGTTTTGTTTTGCTGTGTTGTGTTTTTCTCCTTTTCTAAGATAAGGCGGGGTGGTATTTGAAAGATAAGAGCCGATCAAACTCTCTTCTATTAATGTTTTATGTTGATGAAAGTAAGTTTTAGGCATACTTGTTCTTACCGTTTGACCATTCTTCTCTCTATCCATAATTGAGTCTTACTGCACCACTATACTAGTACTCAATATTGATAGGCCTGCTGTTTATTGGATTTGGATCCTCTCATGTCGAAATTTAACATGTGAGAGTTATGTTCTTGAATATTAACTTTAAAATCCACTTTGCTACTCCCTCCATTTCTTTTTAATTGTCACTTTTTGACTTTTTACACATACCAATAAAGGTAATGATCGTTGTTACTTTTTAAGCAATAATTTTTCTTTTTACCTATAATACCCTTTTAGCACTACTTTGAAATTTAAAAGTGACAGTTAAAAAAGAAACATAAAATTTTCACAAAAGTGACAGTTTTGATTCCTGAAGTTCCAATTGGGGCTTGTTATTTTATTTATCTGAAAAGTTGCTATCCTGTCCCTCTATTTGCTAGAATACAGTTGCTATCGAACTGGTGTCTTTGATCTCTATTTGCCAGAATATCTTCTTTTTTTTGACTGTACAGTAAGAATATCTTCTTGGCTCTAGCCAGCTTAATGGTTCTATTTTAGTTTGAGGAAAGCCGATAGTAATATATGTGCATAAGCTGATTTCATAGCAGTGTGAGGTGACAACTATTGGACACCGCATTGAAACATTAGATGAACAATGCCAATTAATGAAGATAATAGTTCATTCGTTACTGAACTTTTATTCTATCAATGTCTTTAAAAAATTCCATTAACAGAGCTGGCAAAAATAAAGATATGCTGTATTTCTGAAACTGTATTTCGGAGAACAGACATGCCAACCGACTTGTGGAGAAAGCCAGATATTTAAAAATATGGTTTAATTTGATAATGTTTTGCTGCACCATAATAGTTTCAAAACTGAGATGGTAATAATATCAAATTGACAACATATCCTTATAATAGTTTTGTAATAGTTATTTTCAGTACTTCAAGAGTTTGGAAATAACCAATGAAGGTTGTTCTATACTTGGTAAGGAATTGACTCATACCCCACAAGGGCGTGAGCTCAACTCTGGCTGCTGGCATGGGTTCAACTCCTGCTGCTAGCATAAGGACCTCCTTGGTGGATAATCTGTTAGCATCTCTGTCAATGCTCTCTGAACGTTGAGGCCTGCCTTGACCCTGACGAGCCTACCTTGGAACCCAACTTGGCTAAATTGTTTTCCTAAAAAAGATAGTCTGGAAATAGGGATGAGTGTGGACAACATTACAAGATTTATGAAATTCTGAAATCAGGGTGAGCAGCATTATCAGAGTTTAAAAAAGATAGTCTGGAAATAGGGATGAGTGTGGACAACATTACAAGATTTATGAAATTCTGAAATCAGGGTGAGCAGCATTATCAGAGTTTTATAATGTTGATGATTTGAACTCTGAAAAATGGCATAAGGCATGTTGGCTTGATTCTTGTTCCTGATTGTTAAATTCCAAAAATTTGCTTATAATTATTCCCTAATGTGGAAAACAAGATGTTTAAAAATAAAGTTCATTATGACAAATGTAAAATATACATGTAAAGCATCTGTTCCACTGGATGATTTTAGAATCAACTTAACACTGAAAAGCGTGGAACTGTGGATTCCTCTGAAGAACCACATTATGAGTTTTATGGACGGGCATTGTCAAGGTTCTGAATAAATAATGATTCATTTTGGCAATTGCAAATTGTTCCTCTGGATGAAATTTTGTCCTAACCAGTTCAACAATGAAAAGCTTGAGGTTCCCTTGCATGCACAAAATTCCTCCACCTACAGTTTTCTTTAGCATAATTGAATTTTGTTTTTTCTATTTGATGAGGAAGAGGGTATGGGCAATGCTTAGATATATCATAAAAATACAATTTACTAAAAAATCTAAAGAATGGTCTTCAGAACACTAGAAAGTTAGAAATCCTATATTTCTTTGAAGTTATATACTGAATATATTCTCCAATAGCTTTTCCTAGCCACTAATTAACACTGGTAGAAAGCATTTGTTTTGGTCCATAGTTTAATAGTTAAAAATCCACATGAACTACTAGTTGTTACTAACAGAATAAAAAATAGTGTTTTCTCTCCTCAAAAGAGCTGATGCAGTATGTTTGTGATACCTTGTCTTGTTTTGTAATAGGTTACCATTAACTATCTATTGGGAAACTTGGGAAAAGATTATTCCAAGACTGTTGGGGTAGTTGATCTTGGAGGTGGATCTGTACAAATGGCATATGCCATCTCTGAGTCTGATGCTGCCATGGCTCCAAAAGTAAAGGATGGAGATGATCAATATGTCAAGGAGATGTTCCTGAGGGGAAGAAAATATTACCTCTATGTTCACAGGTTTTTCTACTTACTTGAAATGCTAATAAATGTTTTTTTTCCTTTGTTTACAGCCTTAAGCCTTTAGTAGCATTAACTCATGAACCTAGTAGATACTTACACACTGCAGTATTTTTCATGACAGTATTTTGGGTTCCCATCAATAGATCTTTTTTAGCCGACTAATAGATTTTTTACTTGCTTTCAGTTACTTGCGCTATGGTTTACTAGCTGCCCGTGCTGAGATTTTAAAGGCTACCGGTGATGCTGAAAACCCGTGTATCTTATCTGGCTATGATGGTAATTACAACTTCTCTGTATGCCCGGTACTACTTTGATCGAGTTACCCTTTCTGTATGCTTGGTACTATTTTGATTGAGTTGCATATCAGCTCTTTTGATTATCCTTTCATTAGTTGATATACAGAAAAAGAGCTCCGAACAATTAGAATTTTTATATGCTTTTTCTTCCCGTCTTAAAGTTCTGATGACAAGCGGATCTTTTAAACTCCTTAGGATCTTACAACTATGGAGGAAAATCACTTAAGGCATCATCCTCTGGAGCAAGCTTAAATGAATGCAAAAGCGTAGCTCTCAAGGCTCTCAAAGTCAATGAGTCATTGTGTACACATATGAAGTGCACTTTTGGTGGGATATGGAATGGTGGAGGTGGGGATGGACAGAAAAACCTCTTTGTTGCCTCATTTTTCTTTGACCGGGCTGCTGAGGTAATTATTTTTTCATGTAATGGTTCTTGGAGCAATTGACTGCATAGCTTCTAATTCTACTGCATTGCCCATCTTACCGCTCTACTTATTCACAGGCTGGTTTTGCTGATCCAAACAAACCAGTTGCTATAGTTCAACCCTCCCATTTTGAAGAAGCTGCCAAACAGGCTTGTCAAACAAAACTCAAGAATGCCAAATCCACTTATCCACGAGTTGAAGAAGGGAACCTTCCATATCTTTGCATGGATCTTGTTTACCAGTATACCTTGCTTGTTGATGGGTTTGGTAGGTTTTATTTTAAAATGTGGATAGTTTACACATGACAATGTTTCTACAGATTCTTTGTAACCCATCTTCCTGCACTTATTGCTTTCACTTGTTTGCAGGCATATACCCATGGCAAGAAATTACATTGGTAAAGAAAGTTAAATACGAAGATGCCCTTGTTGAGGCAGCTTGGCCGCTAGGAAGCGCTATTGAAGCTGTATCGGCTATATAACTACACCCGAATAATGAGTTTGATTACTCATCCGGAACCTTGCAGCATGGATTTTGTGGTGAAACACTGCCTGTGTCATTCATGATGATCGGAGATTATTTCAGGCAAAATTGGAATTGGATATAGGTCTACTTTTCAGGAATAATGGGAGATTGCAGCTTCATTATTTTTCATACGTAATTAATTCACATTATATCTGATTTACAGCTCCGGCAGATTCATTCGATTCATTAAGCACATTTATATATTACCTTGAGAGATGAACAAAATTGTGATGCTTACACCATTTCATTTTTGTTAAAATGGTTTTGTTCCTGAATATAGTTAATCCTTTATTTCTTCTCTTGTTAGCAACACCTGATTGATCGGCATGCACTGGACTAATGATTTTAGTTGCCTCTTCCTTGTGAATCAGTGATCATATAATTCTCTTTTTTGTTGTTGTTTTTGGGCAATTAATTCACCGGCGATACTTGGACAGAATATTGTGATGCTTATCAAAATTGTGCATGAGGCCATGTTAATCCCACAAATTCTTGAGATTTTTTTGCACAGTAATCAAATGGTAAAATTTACTAAAGGTTTAATCAAAGTCTCAAATATTTTAATCAATTGATGTATGAACTAGTTCAAAATTGTCTTAGTAAAGCATATGCATGTTAGGTGAAGTATAGGGAATTTAAATGATAAACAAAAATCAGTGTTTAATGATTGTTTATAAAACGGCAATTTAAATGATTGTTTAGAAGATACCATAATGTGGGCATAACATAATTCATTACCTAAATGTGCAATTGATGAAACAACTTATGTTAATCTGATGGTTGAGTGTATTTTCTTTGAGGAGCTGATGTTTTAATTTATAATTGGTGTTTATCTAGAACTGTATCAAATAGCAGTAGTATTCTTCATTGTATTTTATCTTACATTAAAATTAAAATGTTGACATAGCAAGGTTGACTTCTTCTATTATCTTGGTGAGCAAAATTTAAAAATAGAGATTAGTTGTAAACAAATTTAAACTTTCAATCAATCAAGTCATTAGGTTGTGTTACTTTATAGTTTGTTTGTGTTAATTTATAGGTGATTAAAATAGATTTTTTTTTTTACAATAATCATGTATTAAAATAATATTTCACAAATAATCGGGTTTCGGAAAAAATTACGCAAATAACCATGTTTCAGATGACTCCCCAAAGGAGGAGCCATCTGAATTGGCGCATGCACCTACACTTTTGTCCTAGACGCCATCTCACTTGGCGCCTCCCTTGGCTTTTAGTCAAGTGAGATGGCGCATGCTCCTTAAAAGTGAGAGGAGGCGCCATCTCACTTGGCTCCTAGGGCAAAACTAGGGCAAAATGCTGTTTTATAAATAATTCGTCCGTTTCTCCGAAATTTCGCACACTTTCTCGCACTGTATTTTTATTTTGTACTCTGTTATTTGCGTCATGACGTCGCCTATGATTTTTAGCAGAGATGATTACGTTATCTTCTCCGCCACGAAACCTGCGATGAAAATGAAATTCTGGCACATTCACTCCATGGAGCGTCTGAAGCGGGAGTTGATGCGATGGCTAGATGGAGACATTGCGGAGGGGGAAAAAATTTGAAGGATCCAGCGAAAATGAACAACAACCTCACAAGCGACAGGAAGACCTAATGCATGGTTGGAGGAAGTCAAAACAGACAGCGATGTAATGTTGATGATGCATGAGTCAGATGAAATTGTGTTAACAGTTGTAATTTCGTAGACGGAATATCGTTAATTATTCTTGTACGCGTTTTATTAATTGTAGCAAAATCTGTTAACGGAAAACCCAAATGTTTACAACACAATTAAGGAAAGATTTTATGTATTACAATTTTTATGTGGTCGAGGCAGACGCCCGATTCAGACAGTTTTTGCGATTGTGTCCAACCTGACGGCATAAACCACACTTTCTTTCCAACCTGTCAAGATCGTCCATTTCTGTTGTGATGCGCTTACTTTTGGGACGACCCTTCTTGTTCCTTCGCATTTGGTCATTGTGCCACACTATTTCGCCGTCGTATGCAGGCCAATAATCTGGTTTTGCTACCAAAGGAAAGTTGTTGTTGTAAACGTTGAGCAACGTTTCAGATTTGTAAATGTTTGACAGAAGTTGCAGCGCGTCTTGATGGGTATGAGCACAAGCGGCAATGACATGAGAGCAAGGCATACGAAATGCTTGAAACCTGCCACAATCGCACCATTGAGAAGGTAGTATGACCCTATATTCTTGTCTTGGCAGGCCTTCATTGTGGTCGATTGTCTCTTTCACAATGAAGTTGTGGCTGTGTCGGTCAAACCGTATAACCATATGAGTGTTGGCTTTAGCACTTTCAGCCTTAATGTATTTCATGTAGCTTTCACTCCATAGTTGTCCAGATTGCAACACCGCATTCCATATTTCACCTCTTTTGGCAAATAACGCAGTCATCCTAAAATACGTAGATTTTACCAAGGCAGTGATTGGGAGGTTTCGTATGCCTTTGAATACCCCATTCACTGATTCAATAAGATTCGTTGTCATATGCCCCCATCTTTGGCCATTGTTGTATGACCTAGTCCATTTTCCCACCGGAATATTGTCGATCCACCTACCGGCTTTCGGATTTGACAAACGGATCTTGTTGCGGTAATATTTGAATGTGGGCTGTGTCAATGCATATCTCGCATTCATAACCGCTTTCCTCAATGTTTTGTCCTTGATCTTCCTCGAGAAATTCTAGACGATATGCCTAACGCAATAGACATGCGTAGAAGGAGGGTCATGCCAACCGTTTGCAGGATTATTGTAGGCACTTTCAATGGAGGCATGTATGTCCGAGATCAAACAGAGATCTGGTTGAGGAGCCACGTGTGTCTGCAGATTTTTCAGGAAAAAGCTCCAAGCACCACCGGTCTCCCCCTCGACAAGGGCAAAGGCAATGGGGAAAATGTTGTTGTTGCCATCTTGTGCAACTGCCATCAGTAGCGTGCCTTTGTACTTCCCATACAACCAAGTCCCATCAATTTGTATAATTGGTTTGCATGATGAAAACCCTGTGATGCATGGTTGAAATGCCCAAAACACTCGACTGAATATTCCGTTGCCATTTAGTAGACTACCATCTTGGGCGTATGCTGACACTGTTTCTAGAACGTAAACACTACCTGGAGAATACGTCTTGAGTGCATTCAGGTAGCGGGGAAGTTGTTGGTATAACTCCTCCCAGTTTCCGTACACCCTTTCAATCGCCTTAGTCTTTGCTAACCACGCCTTACGGTAAGACGAAGTGTAGTTAAAAACCGTGGTGATGTGGGAGATGATTGTTTTCACCTTCAAAGATGGGTCGTTGCTGACCAGGGGTAGGATTTCTTGACAGATGAGATCGTAGTTGAGTTTTCGGTGGTCCTGTGATTGAGTGGAACTTACACAAGTGTGGGTAGTCATGGAACCTATGACCCAGCAGTCACCTCTTAATCTGTATGATGCGGTCAACTTGAACATACAGTCAGGGTGGACACACTTGATCTTGTACCTTTCCGGGTTGACACGGTCCACCTTAAAATCAACCGAGTTGAGCATGTGGAATTTTTTAATGGCCCTGATGCATTCCTCTCTGTTACGAAACTTGTCCTTCTCTTTTAAATTTTCATCCGACTGCATATACGGATTGAAAAATAAGTCAGTATAAGGTTCATCTCCGCCCATGTTGAAGTTTGTCATGTGCGGAGGTGGTGTGTAGATTTCGTTTGCAGGAATACTAGGGATGCCATCATCGTCGGAATCATCATTCACCATTTCATCAAACTCTAACTCGTCATCTTCTTCTTCATCATCAACTGCATCTACCTCAGCTTGTTCATTCTCCAAAGGATCAACCTCTTGTGTCACCTGAGACTCTCGCAGCATAACGTACAACTCAATAGAGTCGTACCCAGAATAGACATGGCTGGAAAACATATTCTGGAGATCCTCGTCATCTTGAACTTCAACCTTATAAAAAATTACTTGGTTGTTTCCAAAAAAAACTGGATTCTGATAAAATATCTGGGACACCGGGCCTCGTTCAAGTTTGGCCTCCAATCGTTTTTTGAAGTACGAGAAATTGGCTTTCCCGTTTAAGAGAAATCAGATGTTGTCTGTGTCTCTAAACAAAAACCCAGCGGTGGGACAAATGTATGTCTCACCGTTGAAATGTGCTTTGACGACAAATTGTGGTGCAAAGGCCATTGCGTAGAATTGTTTGAAGGTTTGAAGGTTGAAATGTTTGAATTTTATGAGTGATTCGAAGGTTGGAATGTTTGAAGTTTATTGATTGTATGAAGGTTTGAATGCTGTAAGGTTTAAAGGTTGGAATGTTTGAACTTTATGAGTTATTCGAAAGTTTATATGTTTGATTGTTTGAAGGTTTGAAGGTTTGATTGTAAGAACGTTTGAAGGTTGAAAGATTTGACAGATTAAGTGAATCAATGTTATGATAAACGTAAGACTAAAAATTTCAATTAAGTAAGGATGCAACCTCCAAGGCTGCCAATAGTGTTACATGCAGGGAATCCCAAAGGCTGTCACGTAGCCTGAGCCTAGCCTGCAACAAAGGACACCTCTTATTCGCCAATTGGGATAGCGACACCATTCATTTTTGTACTCTTTCGCCAAGTCCAATGGCGCTTCCCTTACTATCCAATCGTGATACATGCATGCAGATATGTAACCCCCTAGGCTGCCACCTAGCCTGCGCCTACTCTGCACCTATACTGTATGTTGTAAGTCTCCTCCCATCACCTCCAATGGGGTTACATGCATTCAGGCATGGCATCCCAAAGGCTGTCACGTAGCCTGAGCCTAGCCTGCAACAAAGGACACCTCTTATTTTCCAATTGGGATGGAGACACCATTCATTTTTGTACTCTTTCGCCAAGTCCAATGGCGCCTCCCTTACTGTTCAATCGTGATACATCCTTAGGCTGCCACCTGCCTGCAAGAGTGACACCTTTCATTTTTTGTACATGCATGCATGCATATATGTAACCCCTAGGCTGCCACCTAGCCTGCAAGAGTGACACTTCACATGCATGCAAGCACCAGCAACCACTATATGAATTTTTTTTGCCTATAAATACATACCATATCATACATCTCTCACACCCACACAAGTCTCACTCTCTGCTACGAAATCTTTCATAATCTCTTACACTTTCTAAGTCTTTCATACTCTCTATCTCTTCCTAAGTCTTTCATAATCTCAAGCATTTTAAACAATGGCTCTTCTAACAATGGGCGATACTCACAGAGGCACAAGGGAAAACATTGCCGCATTTGTAAGTTTCTATTTTGGTTATACATTTTTCATACTTCAGATAATGCGTTGTTCGTCTTACTTAATCTTACACATTTTACATTATGAACTCAGGACACAAAAAGATTCAGAATCCGTTCTCACAACTACCTGGCTCCCGACCCATTTATCGTACCATATCTGGAATACGCAGGTTTTGGACATGTCATAAAGATCTCCAACTGCACCATTGACTCAAAGTTCATTCTTGCAATATTGGAAAGGTGGAGACCAGAGACCCATACATTTCACCTACCAATAGGTGAATGTACCATCACGCTAGAGGATGTGTACATGCTACTAGGTCTCCCTGTCGACGGTAAGGCCGTGAACGGGTCGGTTTAACAACCCAACTCTCAGTGTGAAGAACTGTTGGGCAGGGATATGGTAGAAGGTGGTGGTGCGAGAGGTCAGGGAATACTACTCACTGAGCTGAAAAGTCATTATGCAAGTTTGGAATTAAACGAAAATTCCTCCGAGCAAGACAGGGTAGTAAAAGCCAGAACTTATCTTATGATACTATTTGGTACCTTTTTATTTGCCGAAAGTACGAGAAATAGTGTAAATTTTATGTATTTACATTTACTAAAAAATTTTGAAAAAACAAGAAAATATAGTTGGAGTTCTGCAGTTTTAGCCCACCTATACAGTTCCTTGTACAAAAATGCAGTCAAGGAAAAATGTACATTATGGGTGCGCTTTTTTACTACAAGCCTGGGGTTGGTGGAGGATGGAGTCCTTAAACCCCGTCAACAACAACACTTTCGGTTTCCCGTACGCAACAAAGTAAGTCATCAAGTTATATCATTTATTACTATTCATCTCTTCCCCAAATATATGCTAAGAATAAAATGTTTTTCATTTCCTTTAGGTACTGCGTGAGGGGTATGGATTACGGCAAGAATCCAAGATTCAATGTCGCACTATACCGCAATCTGTTGGATCACTTAGGCCCGGATGACGTACGTCGTAGCTTTTAACTTTTCTTCATTTAAATTATTTATACATTACTTTTGCGTTAACCTGATTTAAATTTTATCGCAGTTCGTCTGGAGACCATATTTGGGTTTGGGCCATGATCCAAACCCGGAGGATGCAGCAACTTGGACCGCGAAGACTGCAATCATTCGGTTCAACATTATGGAGATGCACCACAACGACCGTGTGAAGATGCAGTTCAGAATGCATCAAGAGATACCAAGTGATCCAACTTGTTTGTCCCCATGGCATCTTAAAAGGGTCGACGCCCACTGAGGTCTTACTAACTGGAAAGACTTCGCTCCGGAATGGTGTAAGATGTGGCAGAGGCGTCACCGCTATGTCTTGCAATTCCCGGTTTTCCTTAATCAAGGTAATATGTGACACACAGATCAATATTTGTCTTGGTACAGGTCGGTTAGTAACCCTGAAATGCACGTGTCTCATCCAAGGTACTTGGTTGACCCACACACAATGGGCACAACCCTCGTTTCCCCAACAACAAACCCAAAACCCATCAACCTCCCACCAACCCCCAAGAAGAAACAGACCCACAAACACCCAACCACAATCTCCACCACAACACAATTACACTCAAATGCCACACAACCAACTACAATCACCACCACACTACCAATACCCCGATATGCCTCACACCCAACCACAATACCAATCACAATACCAGCACACCCGCATACCCCACACACAATTTCAGTCTTCCGTATATCCCAATATGGGCCCCTCAACATCCAGCCTTAGCCCTGATATGGGAATGTCGGAAGATTACGAACAAACCGACCCAGCCTACCATCAACCACAATATCACTAAACCACCCAACATCCTCAATAGCAAACACCCCAAGATCCATTTCCTTTCTACCCACCGTACTCAGACGATCAATGCTACAGACCTACTATGGAACCCCACCCACCGCCAACACGACCAAACTTTGAGGGTATGGGTAACCGACTGTACCAAAGCGGATCTTCTAGATATGGAGATCTGACTGATTTTATAGATCCGGACCGCATTGACTTCGCTGGGCCATCGACCCTGCCGCAGCAGGAAACACGACGACACCCAGCACGAGAAAGACAAGGACGGGGATGCGGAACCGGGGGTCATTACCGGGTTCCGGGGGATCACTGATTTATCTGTTTTTTTCCTGTATTTTTTTATCCATTTTTTTATCTGTTATTTTAATGTAATACAGTTGGATGTAATTATTATTTTTTTAATAAAAAGTCCATTTTGTTGATCCTGTATCCAACACGCAACGCACCGGACAAAAAAATAAAATAATCAAATTTTGCCCTAAAATAACACCTAGGCGCCATCTCACTTGGCTTAGGGCATGCCCTAAGCACATAGGCGCCAAGTGAGATGACGCCTCCCCTTAAAAAATGGGTGCATGCGCCAATTCAGATGGCTCCTCCTTTGGGGAGTCATCTGAAACATGGTTATTTGCGTAATTTTTTCCGAAACGCGGTTATTTGCGAATTTTTTTTTTAATACATGGTTATTCAAAAAAAAAATTCGATTAAAAATATAATTTGTTTGTGTTAATTTATAGGTGATTAAAATAAAAAACAAATATATTTGACATCTATTGTCTATGATTAATTGATTGTGTAAAATATTTTTACACTATGTATATATTTTAATTAAATTTTTTAAAATATTTGCGATACTCAGAACTTAACAAATGAAGGACTAAAGTTGAATACAAAATATTTTGTAAAGACAAAAGAATAGTTTGTTATTTTAAAAATATAGTATTATTTTGGGACTAAATCTTGTTTATAAATAATTCTTATGTCTTAAATCAGAAAAATGTTATTTAAACTATTATACACTCAACGATTATTTACCTATCAACCTTCAAAATTATAATGGTGGCGGAAACTTACTGTACCTAATAAGAGAGAAGTTAAAATACAGGGGAGAATAAACTCAGTAAAGAAAGTGTGGCACAAGTTATATTAGTTAATTTTGAAAAACCAAAGGCCCAACTTTGATCAGCAGATTAGCACAGCAAGTGTTCGCATTGCTGTCCTTCACGTCGACACCTAGATTCGGTACGTTAGTCTTTGTCTAAAGTTCCCGCGAAATAGATCTTTCTTTCTCAAAATAATTCCATTCATTATAAAACCTGTGATTATGGAAACCCAACTGTTGCGATATAGTTAACTATTTCACTTTGCTTCTCTTTGAGTCATTTTCGCAAACACCTTTGGCTCAAGTCTTAAATTATTGAAAAACCATATTTTTGCACCCAATCTGAACGTATTGATTTCCTTATTTTTCAGTCATGATCAGAATCAGATCTAACCTATCTCTTTTCTCTGTCCTTCTGTTACGCATAAGGCAAAACCCAGTCAGTGTTAATCACTGTGATATAGTTCTAAAGCCTCTTGTGAATGATTTTTACTATTCGAGCAATGACACTTTTTTACCTCCACCAAAATTTGGTTTCTTAGTTAGGTTCTTTTCTACTGAATCCTCAACCAAAAGCCTTGGAATGTCCACTAATGCTCCTGCATTGGGATTATACGAGACCTTGAGTGACGAAGACGATAATTATAATGACAACGACAAAGACAATGATGATTGTGATAAGAATAATACTCAGTTACATTTAATGGACGATGATTTTGTTCAAGATGTTAAGACCATTATGGATATAATTCAAGAACCGGGTTTTGGACCGCATGAAATTAAGCACAAGCTTGAGTGTTGTAGTGTTAAGGCATCATCAGAGTTAGTTGTGGAGATTCTTTCGAGAATTCGAAATGATTGGGAAGCAGCTTTCACTTTTTTCTTGTGGGCCGGGAAGCAGCCAGAGTATGCCCATTCGGTTCGCGAATACCATTCAATGATATCTGTCCTGGGTAAAATGAGGAGGTTTGATACTGCTTGGGCCTTAATCGAAGAAATGAGAGGAAAAAAAACTGGTAAATCTATTGTCACTTCACAAACTCTCTTGATTATGATAAGGAAATACTGTGCAGTTCATGACGTTGGAAGGGCTATAAACGCTTTCTATGCTTTTAAACGGTTTAACATTGAAGTTGGATTGTATGAATTTCAAGGTCTTCTTTCTGCGCTTTGCCGATACAAGAATGTGCAAGACGCTGAGCACTTATTGTTCTGCAACAAAAATGTTTTCCCACCTGACACCAAAAGCTTTAACATCATTCTTAATGGATGGTGCAATTTGATAGTTAGCGCTCGCAATGCAGAAAGGATTTGGGAGGAAATGAGTAAGAGAGGAATCAAACATGATGTTGTCTCCTATGCAAGTATCATATCTTGCTATTCAAAGTCTTCTAAACTATATAGGGTGCTCCAGCTGTTTGAACAAATGAAGAAAAGGAATATTGCTCCGGATAGAAAAGTTTATAATGCGGTCATTTTTTCTCTTGCGAAGAATAGGCTTGTGAAAGAAGCTATAAATCTTATTGGAACAATGGAAGACAACAATGTTACTCCAGATGCCATTACTTACAACTCCCTGATCAAACCTCTCTGCAAAAACCGCAAAATTGATGAAGCTAAAGAAATTTTCGATGAGATGTTGAAGCGACGCATATCCCCGTCTATTCGGACTTTTCATGCTTTCTTCCGAATATTAAGAGTCAAAGAAGAAGTATTTGAGCTTTTGGACAAAATGAAAGAGCATGGGTGTGACCGAACTATTGAGACTTATATAATGTTGATAAGGAAGTTTTGCCGGTGGCGCCAGCTTGATGAAGTCAATAAGATATGGAATGCAATGAAGGAAGATGGAATCGGCCATGATCGTAGCTCATATATTGTACTGATTCATGGCCTGTTTCTGAATTGTAAGGTAGAGGAAGCATACAAATATTATATAGAAATGCAAGAGAAAGGTTTCCTTCCTGAACCAAAGACCGAAAATATGCTTCAGGCATGGCTTTCGGGGAAACAAGTAACAGAGGGCCAGATTATAGATTTAAAAGGCAATCAGTTGGAACATGGCAGTCTTAAAAATAATGTAAAACCTATACCAAGTAAATTTGATAGGGAAAAGGATTTTCTTCGTGAACCTGAGACCCGAAGCGTAACAAGAGAAGGAGGCTTTTCTTTCTGGGAGAAGTAGATCCTTATCTAACATGAGGTTCAATTGCACTTCCTTTGTCTATGATGAAGGTAACACTTGTTGGCTACTATAATTTTCAAACTTGATTGCATGCTCCAAATAGGTGTTGGTATGCATTTTTCTTGTTGTTTAAGAAAGATCTGCACGATTGATGCAACCCTGGAAAAACCCAGGTTTGTTAACTGTTACACAATTGGAAACTTTGGGTAAGTTTGTAATGATCTAAATGTCATCTCTGGCTAACCTTTGTAATATGGAAGCTGAATTTAGGTGCTTTTTTGTATCTTTAAGCGCATTGCCAATAGTTGAATAAATTTAGAGTTCTTAACTTACTTTAGTTGGCCCGACAATGCTACATCAATATTATGAACATTATTGTCTTTTCACTCCAATGTTGCAACTGTTTAAGAGATTAAGACGAGTTATATCAAGTATGTCAAATTTTGAAAATGAGTTACACAAATGACCTCATATTTTTTTAACAGTCAAGAACCAGTTCTTACATGCGGCATCTGTGCCGTCTGCTTCAGTAGTGGAACTTGTAAGAACCGTTTTATCTCTAGGAAACATACTAAGAACTGCCATTAGACATAAATTCCAAACAAGTGAGCTAGCAACTTAAACCACTGTTGTGATACCTTTAATTGGACACGCAGATTAAAAATGTGAGTTTATAGTTTCTTGCAGGGACCTATTAGTATATGCATAATAGCATCTTGGCTAGAGATAAAGTTAGCACAAATATGAAGTAAAAAAAAATATAAACAACAATCAATTTTTTTTAAACCCATGGCATGGATCGGTTTAGGCATTCCAAATCATCAATTTATCTCATTTCATGGGCTATGATCCCAAAATAAAATCTAGCATAGCCTTTGGCTTCCCTGCTAAACTTGTTAGTGTCTTTGATCACTGCAAACCTGCTGTTAGCCCAGTAACCGTATTTCAAATAGCACCAAGTCTCTCTAGCTATCGATTTTACGATCCTGGATTTGAATACAACAAGGCTTCTTAGAATAACTTTATGCATATCAAACAGGTTTGGTGGATAGCAGAATATTCAAAACACTGGTGATATGCCAATTTGATATCACGTTGACAAAAATTAAATGAAAATAATTCTCAAATTTTTAAATACCCAAGCCAACAAAATTGTATGATTTGTTTGTTTGGCGCAAAACTTGTCCACCTTAAACCATACTAGAAAGTTGAAAGACATGATCAACATGACGATTAACTTACACACAACTTATGCCAAACTAATTAAGCACTACAGACTAAACATTGTCAAAAGAAGTACATTAAAAAAAACATACGATAAACAGAATAATCAACACCCCATTCACTTATACATATCACCATGAATAATATTTCTCCTCCGCCAACCTTCACCCTCCACATTTATACCAAAATTAAACATCTCAGCCAGTGACATTTACGTATCAGCCGCTAAACCAAACCAACGACTATACTGGTCATTGACACGACTGCAAATACACATGGAGACTTTTGTTAAATATCAGTTCAATTGCTATAATGATTAGCTGAAGGATTAAAATTTGGTTGGTTTGGTTAAAACAAAATAAAATATAATAAAGTCTTTAGATAATAGCTTTTCATCATGATAGATCAAATAGGGGTTGCCCTTCCCACCATTAATGCTAAATAGTCACCCTTTTTAAATATTTAAAACTGTCATTCTCAAATTCGAAAGTATACTTTCGTACACATTCAAAATATACCATATTCCTTCGCAAGTGAGCCACCCATTCCATGTTGTCAAAAATTAGTCCGAACGAATCTCCGTATTTATGGAAGGGTGAGTCCGTATGTTGCACTTCTCTAATAGCACTTCTCTAATAACCCCTAAAGACATTTTAAACTCATAATAGTGTGTTTATTTCAAAAATCAAAGATTAATTCGGAAGTATGCTTGCGTAATAACCATTAAACAGTAAATTTGTTATAAATTTGAGATTTTTTTAAGAAACTTTATATTTTAGACCATTTATACTAAAAATATACATAACTATTATTCAATTAAACTATGCACTGATGTAATTTGATTAACTAGGGGGTCAGGTATCTTGGCAAAACAAAACAAGTATAAGATCATAGTCCCTCGATGACGCTATTCAAAGGTTGCCTAAACAAAATGATCTTGGTCCCTCCAAAATGCTAAGATACTTGGCAACATTGCTATCATGGTCATACGATGACCCACGCCTGTCCCGTTTACATCCAAAGATAGGGTTGCTTGCCAAATCAATGGTAAGTCAACAATGTCAAAGGAATATAAAATGCACAAGAAAGACATTTGAGTAGGTAGATAACTTCTAAGTTACTTGCTCCTTTTCAAACAACAATCCTTGCTATTTTCAAAAACAAACACACACATTTCAAAACATCTTGCAAAACATTGAAACATTTTTCAAAAGACAAACATCCTTGTATACATTCTTACGAATGATAATCATTACAAAGATTGCCTAAACGAATGGCCTCTTTTCAAAATACTTTCAAAACCACACCAAACACCATTTCAAACAAAACAAAGCAAGTGATCTAAGCAAGTAACTAAGAGCCCATGGAAAACCATGGATGAAAAGGGTGCTAGCACCTTCCCTTTTCATAATCTACCCCCCGAACTCAAGAAAACATCTCAAAGGTATTTCCTGTGCTTTTTTACCTTTCCTTTTGGATAAAAGAAAAGTCGGTGGCGACTCTTGCTAACCGCGACATTTGCGACAAAACGCAAAACCTCAAGTCAGTTCTCCCACCGTATCACAGAACTGGCGACTCTGCTGGGGAAAATTATAAAAGTGGGGTTACCTTAGGGTTTAGATCACATTTATTTGCTTACCTTGTTTGACTTGTTTGCTTTACATTTTGGTTCTATTGTTTGGGTTTAAACCCTCCACCCGGATTTGGGAAACATTATAGGTAAATAGCAATACGTTGTGGAAACTGTGCGAGGTATACCGACACGGTCTAAGCAATAGCTATGTTAGTGCGACATATTTGTGGGTACCAGTAGCCTTTGAGTCAATCAAAGAGAATACGGGGCCGCTGAGTGATGTCATGAAGCACTAACGAACTTCTAGAACCCTTTACTTGACCAACTTGGCCTTTTAGGATGTAGTGAGATGACCGGCTTTGGTGCAGTCCGAAGTTAGTAGATACTCGATACTACACTCATTGAGGGTTGGTTTCTTGGAATATTTCGGTCACCAGTAAAGAGGCTTGAATTGAAACAATGAACAAGGAAACAATCCAGTGATATTGAGCTCCTTAGAACCCGATTACTATTGCTAGGACAGGTTGAACCAACTAAACTTAAAGAGGGTACTTACCTATGAAACCCCATGCAAGCCTAAACTAGGAACTTGTTTGATTTGCTTGTGCATATATACTTGTGCATAACATCATGGACATCATGAGCATCATATGCATCCACTAACCATTTCAAGGATTTTGGAAATTCATCTTTGTTCTTGTTTTGTAGGATATGGATTCACTTCGCAGGAAAACTATCCAAGTCAATCTTGTAAGAATTCCTCCACAACTCAAGGAGCTAGCTTCAAGGATTCCTGAGAATTCTCCATTCACTGTGAGGCATGGTCGTCTACTCAACTTGGTCACATCCAACACAGAGGAAGACATGATGAAGGTTCTCTTCTAGTTCTTTGACCCTTTGCATCACTACTTCACATTTCCTGACTACCAGCTTGTGCCTACTTTGGAAGAATTCTCTCAACTCTTGAGGATTCCCATTCTCAACCAACTACCCTTCAACGGTACGAAAAGAGATCCAAAGTCAGAAGAGATTGCTCAAGCCCTGCACTTGCACTCATCTGATGTCACAACCCATTGGGAAACTAGAAGTGGTGTCAAAGGCTTCTCAACAAAGTTCTTGTTTGAGAAGGCCCAAAGCTGTTGGAATTCCTTGGACTTGCAAGCTTTTGAGGAGATTGTGGCTCTTCTTATCTATGGGATGGTCCTGTTCCCCAACCCTGACTAACTCATAGATGTGAGCGCTGTCAAAATCTTCATGTCTCGCAACCCGGTGCCTACATTGCTTGGAGATATATTACACTCTTTTCACACTCGTACAATGAGGAAAATATGTGTTCTTATGTGTTGCACACCTCTCCTAACAAGATGGTTTATTTCTCATCTTCCCCATTCAGTCTTGAAGAACGAGCAAGGTTTGAGGTGGTCACAACGGTTGATGACACTTAAATATTCAGATATTCATTGATGTTCTCGATCCAAAGAGAATGTTATCATTGTCGACCGTTGTGGGGAATTCCCTAATGTCCCTCTACTTGGAATTAGGGGAGGAAACACCTACAATCCGTGCTTGTCTCTTAGACAGTTTGGTTATGCCCGAAGGGATGACCCACATGATATGCTGATTCAAGGCTTGGTTTTCGACTTCGACAACGACAATCAAGGACTTCGCCAAAGATTCATCCGAGCTTGGAGGATGCCAAACAAGGTGGACAGTAAGACTTTGGGACACAAGAATTCCATCCCTCTTGAGCCTTACCTCAAGTGGGTACGAACCCGCGCTCAAAGTCTTATGATGCCTTATCCCTCCATTCTCCCAGTGATTATATAGCCTGTTAAGGAAGGAGAGGTTCCATAAACCATCCTACATCCTAACATGCCGACATCACTCGAAGACCTACAAAGGGGTTGGATACAGCTCAAAGAAGAACGCGATACTTTCGAAGCCCAATTCTACGCAAGCGAGAAGAAGGTTTTGGAACTCACTCGGTTACTTCATGAAGAGCAGACTCTCAACACCTACATTGCACCAAAGAGGATGCGCAATGTCTTTTTATCTTAGAATTTTGTATTATTTTTCCCTAGGGGCATTGATGTACTCAAATTCTATTTTATTAATATAACGTGTGTTCCTTTTTGTTTGACACAAATTTGAATTTTTAAATCCTTGAAAGCATTGCATGAATACATATCATTCATCATGAGCA